AAAGAGAGAAAACAGATAAAAGCACAAGACAACACCCCCTTATATATCGAACCATAGTCCAATGATGACTAATACCTCCGCGTAACAGAAATTAAAAGAACATAACAGAACTCCCAATTACAAATCCTAATCCCACTGCACAATACCTCCTCTTCTCATTCCAGTTTATTATAACGGGGACTGTGGACGTAGGAACTATGAAGCCAAGGAATACAACCGAGGCGAAGACGTGGACGTAGGAGGTTCGTGGAGTATGGATTATGGATGGTTATACCTGGTCTAGTATACCGGGTAAACCCTATGACGTAGCGCGAACCAAATAGTATTCGTGACTGTAAAGTACAGAGGTTGCGTAAAGAGAAAAGAGAAAGAAAGAGAAACAAGAAATCACGAGACAACGCCCCCCTTATATATCCATACCCTATCCCAATGCTGACTCATACCCTCGCATAACAGAAACAGAAAGAACATAATAGAAACCCGCTTCGCTAAACCCAACCACACTGCATAATCCTTCTCCCTTATATCCAGACAACTCACATAGCCAACCCGCCTAGCTGCCGTTACATTTATCACCTAGCCGAAATCCATAACTGCCGTTACACTTTCAGAGCATTCGGGAGTGCTCTTAGGAAGGAGAACTAATCGCATTCGCCGACGGGTAAGAACGTGTATGATTTCGGATGTTGTCGGGTTGGATCGCGGATCAACCTGAGCATGCAAACTTAAAAAATATTAGTACTAGTTCTTGTCCAAGATGGGAGTTGGAATTCCACAGTCTTGGGAGCACTCGCTGTAGCCCTATGACTAATCACGAGGATTACCGGGAGAGGACAAAGCTATCCAAGGAGAACCCGGGAAACCTGGGACCGGTGGAATACCTTATCGCAAAATCAGTGAAGATACTCTTCAAAGCTTTCTGGGGTATGGCAAGGGTAAATACATACGATCTCAACAAACCGAACATTATGCACAATATCTACATAGGGAAGTTGAAGTACATGATGGAGTGGGTTCAGGCTTTCTTTAAGAATCACAATCGATTGCAGGAATTTGAGAAGGCTTGGGCCTCGAGTGCGCCTCACCCTGGACTGGCAGTACCAAAAAATCACATCGTGCTACAACTCAATGGCAAGGGAAGGAGATGCAAAATTTGGGGCGGGTTGTTCTCGGAGCACTCACGGCTGCTCTGAGAAACCTGGGGGTAGCTGTCAGGGGAGATTTTGCAATACCATTGAACTGTGTACGAAGCTTAATAGACTTCCACTTAATGGCGCAGTATGGGAGTCATACCACGAGCACATTGAATTATGTGGAGGGCTATTTGGAGGATTTCCATAAACACAAGGATATCTTTTTAAAATTCTGAGTGTACAAGAGGGCTGTTAAGGATGTGAGAAATCGGACAAAAGCCTCAAATGCCTCAGGCTCCCAGAGTGCTTAGCGAGGCTTGGAGGAGATTGGCGAGATACGAGAAAGGTCTCAGTTCAACTTCATCAAATTGCACGTGTTATTGCACTATCGCGAACATGTCGAGCACTTTGGAAGCATTCCACAGTACTCCACCGACATCAGTAAACTCGTCCATGTATGTCAGACAAAAGAGGCATACGGAGCATCCAACAACGTCGATGCTGCAACGCAGATACTTAGCTTTGAGGCGCGGCGGTTGGTGTTAGAGATTCGAATGCTGAATCTGAAAGATATTATTGGAGGTCCTGAGAGCACTGGCGACATCCCTTGGAGCCAACGAGATAACATGAAGGAGTTACTTGAGATTTTTAAAATCGAAGACCGGAAAAAAACTCCAAATGAACGATCCATAGTAGAAGGAGGGTTGCCTCTAAGGCGTCTTTTCAACCCCTCCATGAAATCTGAAACACTTTTCAATATTGCGGATGGTCTGCAAATAAGGCATACCACATTATATCACCTGATAAAGAAGTATACAGAGGATGCGGAATGCTCTCAGAGCTTTGCCGGAAGCTCCGAGAGCATTTTAGATCCCTGGTTGGAGATATTTAAATGTTTGCAGATTCTGATGCCAATCTTCCAAAGACCTGAGGTGTACGAGGTTCACAATATTATGTATGCGGGAAACACGCCTTTTAGGAAAGGGAAAATAAGAAAGGATTGGGTATTGGTATCGGTAGCATCCTCAGAAGAGTGGAGAGTGTTTCGGGGATGCTTACTAGGACATGTGGAGGCTTTGTTCAAGCTGCGGGATAGTGAGGGGTGAGCACATAGACTATGTACAGTGGAGCTACTCAAGGCAAAGGATCGTCGTATCGCTGATAGCTCATATCGGCTCCTGAAGGTTTGTAGGAGGAGGAGGAAGAGGATATGGGTCGTTAATATTCGGATTATATTGGGAATGGCCCATTTGTTTGAGGTAGAGACTGGTAATTGGTTGGTAAATACTAGGATAGACTTGTCTACATGGAATGAATTTAGTTGAAAGTTGACAAAGCCGTGATGGCATTCGTGAGTACTCTAGGAACGGTAGACCCAATTGGACTCTATAATTCAAAATTAGTCTCCTTCTGCTATGCATACGGATTGGAAGAAGGAGGTAAAGTTTCGGCTGCTCAGTATCTGAGTCTGGCTATCCAGCAAGCTCACTCCAGGTTGGCAATACCAGTCAATGTTTGCTGCTTATGCAGGGACATTGAGCTTTTCAGACGAGCCGTACCATGGCCTCGACCTCAAGGCTAATTGTGCCTTTCACGAATCAACAGATCTTGAAATAGTATGCTCAGCACATTTCATAGTATTGGACGATTCTCATTTGTCATCATGAGTCAAGGGTTCTGACTCATTCTTTCTCTGGGTTTTATTAGTCATGTTTTTCTATTACTTATACGGTCATGATTGACTATGTTTCTGTGTTACCTTTCTTTAGTATAAATATGGGGCATTCCCCCTCTAGTTAGTTGGAATAACACGCTCAATTACTACACTTCTCTATATACACTCTTTCTCTAACAGAAACATACACCTCGGTCAAAAGTTAACTAGTCGTCACCAGTATACAGGACAGTGCTCGTATCAGTATCCCGCGACTGACCATACAGCGACGTTGGGGATACCTACATTAGATATCATTTGAGGGACTGTTGCCTTCCGATCCTTTGACGACGGCGTATAAATACAAAGGGGGGAATATGAGGATTGCCTCACCTTGAGCGGGTATGACGAATTCCTCAGCTCTGTGAGCATTGGTTAGTACTCTGGTAACACTCGTGGGAGCACTCGGGTGAGCATTCGTGTGGGCATTCATGGAAGCATTTGCGTGAGCATTCGCGGAAGCATTCGCAGTGACGTGAGAAAATTCGCCGTATCGTGAGAGCATTCGCCGTCCGGTGAGAGCATTCAAGAAAACTGTCAGAGCATTGGGAATTGCTCACGTAATACTACTGACATAATCAAAACAACTAAAAGTTCCATAGGTGTTATAGGCGGGGTCACTCCATCCTAGCATCTTCGGAGGGGGAGGTAATCTCATTGCGGCCTAGGTGAGCAGAGCGTTGGTGAGTGCCCTCCGGACATCAGCCATATCTCCTGGTGGTGCCGGAAGGTTAGGCGCTCCTGGGACGGAGCCTGGTGCAAGCGGTGTACACTGGCGGTGCCAGATGCGGTAGGCACTTGGGGCACAGAACACCCGCCAGAACGAAGGGGCTGCACCCTGGGTAATACCCGAGCTTGCTGATGTACTCTTAATCTGCAACCTGAACACTTCATAATTAGACCGGTTCCATCCTAACCACTAAAGCATTGGATTTCACTCCCAATCCTCAGTGTTTGCGCCCGCTGGCTCTCTAGTCATTGTACTTCAGCAACAATCTTTGTAGCATATCTCGGCGTATATCTCGGCACGGATCCCCGGTGTGCCGGAGGCAATGTGGTAGCACAACCTTTTAGTTCCAAACTTGGATCAAGAGGAAAGGACACATTGGCTCCTGGTGGACAAGACACGGTTTGTGAAAACAAAACGTGTTTAAAAACGAAACACTGGATCGAAACGGAACATTCGTGCCAACAGGAGAAGAGAAGCTGGAATTGAAGATGCTGGATGGGCAGATTAAGGTTCCTCTGTTTGGCCTCTGGATACTGTTCTATCGCTCTCAAGGTTGGACATTCTGTCTAGTAGTTATGAATATCAAAGGAAATCTGAATACCGAATAACGACCGGCAGTTAAGACTGAAAAGCTTTTTGTGACTATTTCTAGTTTCTAGAACTAAATCATCCCAACTGGCATCAGCGATGGTCGAGCATTCACATTTTCCTCAACCGGGCTTTACCCGAAAAAATCACACCCTTACCCGAAAAAGTCACCCTCAACCAACCTTAATTACCTCTAATGGTTCATATGAACGGAAAGACTGAGTCCGCTACATATGGAATGGCCACAATGGTTTAGATGCGGGAAAGTCGGATGTGATATAATACTAGTAACCTGCATCAGAAGTATACAGTAGTGAACCCGAGAATTGATATTGTTGAAAGAATATAGCTAATGATTTCTAGACCGGTAACTCAGTCGTGTATGCTACCCATTCACGAACAACGAAACCCATTGAGTAATATCCGTGGATAGGTAGCGTCCGTGCTTGGGCGAGAGCACTGACAACCTTTCTTATACGGCACACTTGGTATTCCTGAGGGGAGTGCTTCCTTGGCGTTGCAGAGCGTGACGTAGGTGACACCTACGGTAACACCAAAACCCGGCGTAACCATTGTTAAATAAGCAACATCTTGTGTAATCTCTCTTTCCGCGATTAGGAAGCTGCACGTAGGGGATGGGCAAGAGACAAGGACTCAAGTAGACCGAGACGATTGAGGATAGGTCATCCTGTCTCTGACCTGTATTGTTTGTGATAGAGACGAACCAGAATACAAGAACAGCCAGGAACGTAGGTAACTGGTTGGAATCCTGATAATAAAAGCGGGGTCAGTGCGATCGTTCTCTGCTACTCAACCCGCACCCATCCATACAAACATGAGTGAGAACTCCAGACTTACTATCAACATGAGGGACAACTCGGAATCCACGACAATGGAAAGAATAAACTATGCAATCAAGCTCACGAGCACCTTGATCTCGGTGGTAAACGAGTTCCTATGGGGGATCAATGAAGTTCCCGATGGCCTGAGGAATTTTTTAGAACAATTTCAATCGCTCGGCAAGGTTCTTTCCGGCTTCCGAAATGAATGTCCGGGGGATCAAGAATTCCGTTTATTGGTATTTCAGAAACTCAATGTGCAGAACGGGCCCCTGGTCGAATGCGTCGCTGAGCTAAACCAACTTCACTTGAGAATCAAATCCGATAAGGGCGAAGAAGAAAGCCCAGCACGCCTAGGCTGGCTATTGGATGAGAATCAGCTCTTGCAATATACCTTACGAATCGAGAAGCACAAGAATATTCTTGCTTTGGCGTCACAGTTGATGAAGGATCAGTCGTAAGTGGACTTCAACTGGGCTGGGCTGGGCTTGCTTCTGCTTTGGCTAATCTACGTGGAAGGAAATTGTCGGAGATCATGGCGGAAAGTTACATACAGGATACAAGTAGGGAAAAGGGAAAACCCCAATCCGAACCACCTACCGATAGCTCGAATATAGCCAGCGTTGAAAGCAGTAAGTGTAGAAGGGTCATGACTCGGGTAGTAATAACGATAAGCTGATATCCACGGCTCTTAGTGAAGAGACGGAAATCGGATCTCGGATGGCTCTTTCCTAGAGACTTTGAGAGCAGGTACCTGGGTATTCAGGAGCGCAGGATAAAGGGTACAGGAGAGTGGTTGCTGAAATGCCCAAGCTTTAAAAACTGGACGAATCGCAGTCCGGGCCACACCGTTCTCTGGGGTTGTGCAAAGCGTAATGCCTCCCGGAAGTCCTTACTTGGGGATGTATGCTAACGGGCATGGCTGTAATAGCTGGTGCTGGCAAAACCTTTATCAGGTATAAGCTCAATTCGCGAACTTCGCTACAATATATCTGATTCTCTTAAACGCAGCTCGAAGGTTATCGACCACGTCAAATCTCAAGCGCCTATATACAACTCTGCTGTGGGCTATTACTTCTTCGATCGCATGGAACAAGATGAAGTTTCGCACAAGGATATTCTTTCTAGCTTGATTGTGCAACTGGCTCTTCAGGCACGATATTTCTCGGTTGTATCTCACACCCTCTCCTCAAGGCTTGGTGACTACCAGCAACCAAAACCCAGTCCAGAGAAGTTATTTACCAATCTCATCGAAACATCGAAGTCCTTCGATCAAGTATTCTTTGTCTTTGATGGAGTGGACGAGTACAATCAACATGAGGAATTTCTGCTTGAATTTGTTCAAAATCTGGCGGTGGTGAAAATGAGTCTCTTCGTGACTAGTAATTCACCACCGATAAATCTTCATTCATCTCTTCACGCGATAGCGAGGATAGATCTGTCCGCAAGAGCAGAGGATATCAAAATGTCTATCGAAAAGTGGATTGACAACTCCCAGCAATTCCGGCTTCGTCTTGAAACAGGAAAGTGCCAGGATAGGTTTATTAGGGAGATGACCACTTGTGCAAATGGGATGTAAGTATTCAGTTCCGTTTAAATATGTGAGCATTGGCGTACCAGTGCGTGCATACCGTGGTGCCATTCATTCCTGTCACGTAGTTACATATGGGTTAGGACCCGACTTGTTCTGCGTCATGCGTTACACTGAAGCTACCCGTTACAAGGCCGAATAACTATCGTTGCACGTTTATATCTGGCCGCGGACTTAACTAAGGTGTATCTGTTTGCTAACATTGCAAGGCTCTTATCTGTTGATCTTGGGATGAGAGCCGTCATCCAGCAACCAACGGTCAAATGCATTTTCAGCTTGATCGAGCAACTTAAGTCTTTCGCAAGGGAAGAAGCACCGTTCTCTTCATTCTATGCCCAGTGCATCGGCAACATCCGCCGCCAAGACACTGCCTGTTCCAAGATGGCGGTGAAGATTCTTTCCTGGCTGGTAAAGGCCCAGCAGACCTTGACAGTCAATGAACTGCGCGAAGCGATTTCAGTCGAGCCCAAGAGCTACAAGCTGGAAGATTCGGATTTACCAGATACAGTCACAATGGTGAACATCTGTGCTGGCCTAATTACGATCGACCAGAGCAGTGGAGTTGTTCGCCTTATACATGATACCGCCCGACAATATCTTCTGAGATGTTCCGTGATCCCCTTGGATTTTGATTATCAAATGGCAATGGCGTGCCTGACCTACCTCTCATTCGACGTCTCCCCGGATCGTTTTCCATTCCAGCGAGTCCCAGAGCAAGAACGTCCGTTCTTCAAGTATGCGGCGAGAAACTTGTCGTTTCATATCAATCTCTGCGATGAGTCTTTGACAACAAAGGCGTTTCTAAGGTTCATCAAAAGCCCCCGCCAAGCCGCTTTGTATCTGGAAACACACAGAGATGATTGGTGTTCCGAGATGGACAACTCTCCGCTGGTGGTCGCTGCTCAGGTGGGCCATCTAGCCGCAGTCCGTATGCTCATTGCAGCGAGAAAACATGCTGTTCACATCGGCGGGCCTCATCGCACTGCGCTTCATGAGGCAGTAATAGGACACCACTACGAGACCGTCAAGCTACTTCTCCAGGAACTGCGCGATGGGGGTCTTGCAGAAGAATGGGACTTTGAGGGAGCCTCGGAGCGGGATGATAGTGGCAAAACGGTACTTCATTGGGCTGCACGGAAAGGATTTAAAGATATTGTTGAGCTTCTGGTGCGTGTGGAGAACAAAGTCAACATCATGGATCATGGCCTCGGCCAGCAGACCGCACTACATGAGGCCGCGCGTGGAGGCCATGAAGAGCTGGTAAAGATGTTTCTGGAGAAAGGTATACCGCTCTGGGATAGAGAGGAGTGTGGGAGAACAGCCCTCCACGAAGCGGCAGGAGCGGGTCATATCGCAATTGTGAAGCTATTACTCAAATACTCTGGTGCTTTACCGGCTGCAAAGCTAGAACCGTACTCGAGCCCAGTGACGATTACTGAAAGAGGGCTTAACTGGGTGAACAGACGGGATGCCCGTCTCAGGAATGGTGTGTCGGCTCAAGATAAGCAATTCAGGACACCTCTGCACCTAGCGGCATTGGGATGCCACACAGAGATTTTCCAGCTACTCTTGGGGGAAGGTGCGGATGTATCTGCAGAGGATGCACTCGGCGAGTCGGTGCTCCACCAAGCAGCGCGTGGAGGAAGCAAACGCATTGTAGAGTTACTTGTTCAAGTTGGTGCTGATATTGGAGCCACGAACCACGCGGGGGTGACGATACTCCATCGAGCGGCTACTCGGGGCTATACAGACATCGTGCAGATCCTTCTGGACAATGCGGTAGATACCTCCCCGCGGATATCCGGCCGCACAGCGCTAAAACTGGCGATAGAGGGAGGATATGAGGAGACGGCGCGTCTACTTCTCGATAATACCCCCGAAGGTCTTACTTCGGACGAAGTTAATAGCATGCTAAATCTCGTTTCGGAACATGGCTACGCTGAAGTAGTAAAGCTGCTTCTCGACTTGGGCGCAAATGACATCAATGCGGCGCTCTACAAAGCAGCAACTGGAGGTCACCTGGATACTGTCAAGCTACTTCTGGGCGCCGGTTCAGATATTTTCTCACGCCATAGAGACAATGAGACCGTGCTCCACACTGCAGCCTATAATGGCCATGTCGATATTGTTAAGCTACTTCTTGAGAACGGTGCGGATATTCGTGCTCGGTCATGTCGAAATCAGACTCCACTGCACATGGCTGCAAGCTGTCATAAGCATTGGGGTGACCACAAAGGAAATAAAGAAATTGTTCAACTTCTCCTTGAGGCCAGCGCAGATGTTAATGCAAAAAACACAAGTGGGGAGACAGCCCTCATCCTAACAGCAAGGTTGGGGGCGTTAGAGGATGTGCGACTTCTCATTGTACATGGCGCAGACGTCTTTGCCCATGATGCAAGCGGTCAAACAGCACTCCACAATGCAGCGTATGCGGGTAAGGCAGACATTATAAAGTTACTTCTTGATCGTGGCGCCAGTATATCTGCACGAAACAGCCAGCAGAAAACGGCACTCTCGCTGGCGGCAGAAAGCTGCAGGGTCGGTATTGTAAGGCAGCTTCTCGAGAGTGGGGCGGATTTGACGGAATCCGATGCGAGTAACCGGACGCCCCTGCTTCTCGCGGCCGGCCGTTCGTATGGCAGCGAGGTTGTTCGTTTACTTATAGACAGCGGCGGAGATATCAACGAGAGGGATGCGGAAGGCCGGACAGCATACTTTGTAGCGGTAGAGGGCGGGTGCTCTAACGTTGTGGAAGTACTTCTTAAAAGTGGTGCAAGTATATCGCAAAGAGATAAGGGAGGTAAAACGGCGTTATTTGTTGCAAGCAGGGAAGGAGACGTCGAGGTTGTCCGAGTCCTTTTGGAAAATGGCGCCGATGTCTCAGAGACCAATGCAGATGGTGAAACGGCGCTATTCATGACATGGAAATGGGAGGTGTTTAACCTTCTGGTCGAAAAAGGCGCGGACAGGTATCATAGGAATCGACACGGTAAAATGGCGGACGTTCCCGAGAGATTTGACGACGATGATGGATATTCACCACCATGCTCTATATATGGATGGTAGAATGCCTGAAGTATGATGTATGTATGACACGAACTGCCTTCAATACCGAGGAGAGCTACGTCTCTGACGCAAGTAGGTCTATATGTATTAAGATGGAGATATCGGGTTGTGGCGTTTCAGAGCCAGACGGGAACGCGAGATATCTATTACAGGAAGGCAGGTTGGCATGCATAATGGCCTAGGTGGGCCAGTTCAAGTTGGGCTTCCGCTGTTTCTTGGGTTTTTTAAACTCAGACATTGAGTCTAGTGGTCTTTGCAAAGCTCCCGGGCTCCCAGCTCGGCTTAACATAATCAATTCCATTTTCATGTTTAAAAAAGTCTAAATGGGATCTGATGCTTCCACGTCCAAAGAACAATTCTTTTCTTGTTCCAGCACCTTCCTATCTCGATCTGCCACTAGAACAAACTGGTCATAGCGAATTGCGCCCTTTAATATGAAGAATATTCATTAAAACCCTAATGGGTAAAGTTCCGCCGTCACTTTCGGTTTCAAGCGGGTGGTATAGCTGAACCCTAACCCTGATATCTTCACGCCTCAATAAGCTATCCATGGCTTCCGAGTCATCCGGAGATCATTTCCGTTGTCCAGCTTATGGAGAATTAGTGAGATAGGGTTAGTGATCAAATTAATAAAATTAACTATATAAAATAAAAAGCAGTATAAAGAGTGCACGCAGAACTGCAACCTTACCGCATTAGACTGATAGAAAATGAGCGAAGAGAAGGAGCAAATAAGACATACTGGAAACAGCAGGTACAGAACCGAGGTCAAGACAGTGGCCAACTGACCGAAGTGGTTGACGAGTCTAACATTCCAGACGTTACGAAGCTGTGGTTCTAGTATTGTGGTACAGTAGCGAACAGCCAAAATCGACTGTTTCTTTTTCCGCTAGGCTTAGTAATAAGCGACGGCGGTTGCAAATCGTTAACACAGCAAACAGGTTTCTACCTACACCTGCAATCATTAAATATCACTCGATTCTGTCCTTTTGGATTATTTTCAGTTTCTCCCCCAACCCGGCACCACACAAAATACCAAGACTTATGGAGCTAGCTCCTACCAATTGCAAAGGTGATTTGGTGTCTCTCATAAGAACCTTTAGTACTATGATTATTCAAAAGGATTCATAGTTTTGCTCATTGTGGTAAAGTTGCAGATCGATCACTAGCCTGCTGGTAATTGTTGTCGTCATGGTCGGGTTTGACAGTCTGGTATTACATATATCTACCGTCTCGACCTATCCCGAACTACATGATGCATCAAGACCAGCCCAATTCTGATAACGCGGTCTGTCTCCTAAGGAAGCATAATAGCTTTGAATCAGGCACAGCGATTGCAGTTCTCCACCCGCCAAGAGGTTTCGTATCCTCAACAAATCAAAGCCATGTTCCGCAAACTACAGCTCTCGTAACTATCAACACACCCGATCTTGCAGCATCTAATCCACAAATCTATCTTTATTCAGCGCTTGCAAGTCCATCTCCTCTACATCAACAGCCCCGTCTTGAACATGTCTTCCTCCACCCACGCTGGCTCAAAAGCCCCCGTCCACCTTCCCCTACCCAGCACTCTGAGACCAATTGTCTCCCTGAGGTCACTCAACACCACCTTTTGCTCCCCCGGCCTTGACGACTGTGCACCCGTCAGTATCAGTACGTGACATCCATGCTTGGCCGTTACAGGTGCTAGCGGAACCCATCTCCACGACAGCCTCCCCCGAGACCACTGTCCAGTGCTCGATCTTTCCCTTATCGCCGAGCTGGTCCATCAGCGCCTCTAACATCGGAGATCTGAGGTCTGTGGAGCCGTCAGAAGGCAGCGCCTCATCAAAGCGGTCAAATGTGTAGATGCTCTCGGGGAGAATGCTAAGATACAGATTACGGAGGTTGCTGAAGAGCGGAGGGTCGGAGCTGGAGGGTGCCTGGGTGAGTTGTCAGCGTTATGGGTCTATAGAACACCATGGATCGACCTGAAATTAAGCAGAACGTTTACATACGCATTCACCCATGTGCACTGCTATCCTCAGATCCTCAATGCCGGGGCAGCCCGCAGCCAGCATCTTCAGATGGTGGTTCCCCCAGCCGCTGAACGGTGGCCACATCAACTGCCGGAGCCTCTGACTGCTCGTCATTTCCTCCCCCGTAACGACACTCACGGCCTTCACACCTCGGCAGTTCGTCCCCAGCTCATCGATCACCTGAAACATCCCCGACACAAACCCAAAGTGCCCGAGGTGGACTATATGTACCTCCCTAAGCTCCCCGCCGCACAGCCTCAGCACCTGTACTATATCCTGGACGTGCATGCCTATGCTCAATTTGCTCAGGCCCCGCAGCCCGCCCCCCGCCTCTAGTTCCATCGCAACACCGCGTCCCCCATGCACAGTGCCGGCATCAGATACGAGCTGCAGCGTCTCCAGCCTTCCAAAAGCCACTGTACCGAGCAGCCCCGCGATAGTCAGCTCATTAAAGTCCAGCAGCCACAATGCGCGTAGTGAGGGAAGGGCCGGGAGCCCCGTGTGCGATATCCCCACCGTGGTATAGGCCATATGCAGCTCCTGGAGGGTAGCAGCGCTGGAAGCCAAGATGCTGTGAAGGGCCGCGGGCTCGGCGTTCACGTTATAGAGCGTGAGCTTCTCGAGCGCCCAGCGGCGCTGCGGGGAAAGGGTGGGCGAGAGCAGCGCGCATGTGTACCGGCAGGTGAGCGATCTGAGGGGGAGTGCCGCTATGGCGGCTGCGAGGCCTGTTACGCAGGTCTTGGGCGTGTACACGAGGGTGTGGATGGAGGTGAGAGCCCCGAACGTGGCGGTGAGGTCAAGGGTGGGGAAGGCAGAGGTGCGGCGGCCCGGGCGGGGATACTGCGAGGGGAGGACGAGGAGATGTTCGATATAGGTGTGTGGAGCATCGGGGGAGCACTTGAATGGGCCGCGGCTTCCTTTATGAGCCCGTTTGCGGCCGATATGTAACCCTAATCCTGTTGTCGCCCGCCAAGACCTCAAACGGCCTGTTGACAGTCGTTCATGTACCAAAACCAGATCAGTCATGCGCCACAACGCATGACTTGACTGTGGATATCATGCTTGGTCACTTTAATTCGGCAGTATGTAACCACCGGTATGCATTTAGGACCGCACTCCTGGGGGTATGATTAAGCGTTGTTGGCTGCTCTCTGTATTCTTCTTGTTCGATCTTTCTCAACGGACCAAGACGAAATGTAGGTACATGTATATAGCCAAGAGTGATAACTATGAGGATGTATGATGATGAATGATCCAAGTAAAGAGGGAACGACCCAACGGAATACTACACTAAACTTGTCCTCCACGTAGCTGCTCAAGCATGTGGTAGGCTCCACAGCATGGGGTATGGCCTATAATCTCACGCCTACATTCAAGAGTTAAACGAAAGTCTTAGTTATCAGAATTCAATGTTGTGTGGGGATTCGATCGTACTCCGGATTAACCATGCATACTACCCCCAGGGGAGTGGAGTACGTCAATAGGGTGCGTGGGGCCGGACTGGACGAGCACCTCCGACACTGTGGCTTGGTTGACCGCGGCAAGGAAAAGGGATAAAGAGCAATTAAATGCGCAGGTAGCTTAGATAGCGATACACTCCAGTCCATAGTCTAAGTATAGCAACCCTTGGCAGTTGCAATATTGGTGATCACAACGTCTTCACCGGACATCACTCGCATACGACTGCGAGTGGAGTGACAGCAGTCTCTACCACCGGAAGGAAATGAATCCGTGAATGCATCCCCAGATTTTGTTGGCGCTATGCATCGGTAATGTGCTGTAGTATTGCGCTTATTTCGGCAATGGATGTGTTCTTGTATCGAAAGTGCACCAGCAATGCTTCTGGTAATGCACCTGGCAATGAACCGGCAATGTATTTGGAATGCGTTACATAACACCGAATTTGTGACTCGACTTAAAAAGGGACCGAACCTGTGAACGCCTGGTCCTTATCCTTATCTTACACTTCGCAATATGATGAGCCATAAGATTTGTTACATCTTTGGATGATGCATCCGAAAAAGCATCCGGAACTCTGATTTATTCCCAACAATGAACGAACATATCACTGATCAAGTAAATGCATGCAACAACTGGTTCGTTGGCCTAAAGCCTCGGCAGTCAATGAGTCCATGGATCGATTTCCACCACCATGGGATTTCAGAAATGCACCATTTGATGCATTCACCCCCGTAGTACACATATAGAGGGTCCCTAAGTCTATCTTGGTCCACTTTTCGTTTGCCTGACCGTGCATTTTAATTTGATTCTCGACCGCATGCACGGATAATTAGTATACGGCCATTTCGTGTTTGTGGTGCGGGGGGGTTCGTTGGTTGGATGCCTGAATATGTTCATGAACCCCGCCCAGCTGCTGGCACTGTACCGCAAGCACTCGAACATCGTTATCCCTTAGTCTGGCAATGCTGACCACCCTATAATAGAGGAATGAAATTTGTATGGGAGATCTATTATTTGATAAAGAGAGATAACAAGATCTGTTAGTAAAGCCACACAAGAATTTGCTTTTTCTAGGGGGGTCAGCATTTTTTGCCAGACGAAGGGATAAAGTAGATATATATATATCACAGCAGCAGCCCATATGTTCCCCCACAAAGATCTATATCTATTATATATATTCCGCTCTCCGCACCCAAAGCTATAAACAAAAACCACACCCAATACCACCCCCCCCCCCCCCGCCCGGCAGTCCATGGCCTCAAGCAATATGTACAGTCTGGAACCCATCCCCGGCGCCGGGCTCGGCATGGTCGCCACAGTCTTCATCCCCCGCGGTACCCAGATCCTCGCTGAGCCACCGCTCTTCACCCTCTCCGCCGACTTCTCCAACCCCACACAGCTCACCGCCGCCATCGAGGCAAAGGTACGCGCCCTCTCCTCCGATACCCAGAGAACGGCCTTCTTCGCCCTCCACAATAACTACGCCACTGACCGCGCCATCTCCGCCGCCGCCGGCATCGTCAAGACCAACGCCCACCCCCTCGGCGTCGGTGCCCGCGAGTGCGGCCTCTTCCCGGAATGCTCGCGCTTCAACCACAGCTGCGCCTCAAACTCGAGCTACACGTGGATCGCCGCCACCGGGAAGGAGACCATCTTTGCCGGCAAGGACATCCCCGCGGGCCAACAGATCACCGTCAACTACCTCGACGAGCACAGCCTCCTCCAGAAGCGGAGTGACCGGCGCGCGGCGATACTCGCCCTCTTCCGCTTCGGGTGCGGCTGCGACGTGTGCGCCGGGACGCCCGCGGAGGTCGCCGCGAGTGATGCCCGGCGCGTGGAGATTGCGCGGCTGGATCGGCTGATTGGCGGCGGCGGGATGCTGGTCATGGTCAGTCCGGCGAGGTGTCTGGACAGCTGCAAGCAGATCCTGCAGCTGTACATGGACGAGGGAATGAATGATGATGCGCTGTTCAAGACGTACAACGATGCCTTTCAGATCTGCGTGATGCATGGGGACCTGGCGAGGGCGAGCGCGTTTGCGGCATTGGCGGTGACGTGCACGGGGGCGGGGGGGCCGTCGTTGGAGAGTGTGCGGCCGTATGTGGAGCATCCGGAGAGACATGCGTATGCGGGCATGTCGCAGAAGTGGAGGACGGAGCGGAGGAAGTTTAGAGGCCTGGATCAGAATGGGTTTGAGAAGTGGTTGTGGAAGAGGGCAGACTGGTGATCATCTGTGGTGGACCTGATCTGGTTTGTGTATATTATATACATTATATGTGCCTCTCATTGCGAGTTTGAGATGTCGCATTGGCTGATATTGTATCGGCCTGGTTTGACTGGGCTGGGTTGTTTCGCGGTGCGCAATAATTGATATATCATTGATATCAATATGCATGACTTTATTTTGAATCACAACCACGTTATATCCTAGATTGTCCTTTCTCATAAACCCATTTATTGACCTTGAAAATGATAGAAATGATATTGCTTGATTGAAAGTACGCTGCTAATCCCAAGCTGAACAGGACGACTAGACATGAGACTAGATAGGAAGTGCAGACAAAGGAGATAAAGGAAATACCCTATCAAAGTGGTCCGCTGAATTACATATCCGCTGCATAACGGGTTCGTTGCATGAAAGGAAAGTACAAGAGTTTCTCGACCGTATTCCATCAGAACAGTCTAAAACTATATCCCAAAGAGAAATTGCTTGTGCAAAAACATCCATCGGGGAGGGACCTGCCTGCCAGAGATATATTCCACGGATGATACTTTGCACTTGTGTGCTACTAATGATCGACTGACACCCTGCATCCCACCAACAAACCCCCCCCCCCCTTTCTTCTCACCCACCCCCTAGGAATACAGCCATCAGCACTTTCCACCGGTGTGGTACAACGATTTTGGTGCAAGTGGGATAAATCATCCCATTTTGGGGGGGGTAGGGAACGATAAAAACACTGGTTTTTTTTGACCAAAGACAAGACACCCCGCCCTCAGGACTTCTTTCGGCACAAAGCTAAGATATCGGGTCCTGTAGTTATCCTGCGAATTATCATGAACTTTTACGAAAGGACTGAAGCGTCGACCGCTTCCATCAACCACACTTTCTATTATCGAGATCGCAATAATTTAAAGTAAAATATGAGGACCTATTCTCTATTCTCAGGATGATCGGAGAGTAAGAGTGGTCTTTCTTCTTCAGCCTACGCGCACGTGTCGCATTAATGATATTGGACTACTCCAATCATTGAGTAGAAGTCCAGTTGGGTTTTTGTGGCGGCTCATTTGAGAGGTTGCTCATGACAGCCGACGGGTGAGGCGCGCTTTAAGCTCCGAATATTTAGCTATTATTTTTAGCTAATTAGAACCACCCAAGTTCTATATGAGCCGATAGTATAATATATGTTCGTGCCAGAGCTTGGCTATTGTAGATTGAGAGCTGTTTGACATGGCCTTGAGTTTCTGCTCGCCGGTCAAGACCGCGGGTGTTAGAATGGTGAGATGGCCGTGGATTTGCTGATGGGTGCCTCTAATAGCCCTTTGCATGAACCAGAAAACTCGTCGGAAATGCGTCAATCACCACTAAATTATTTCGTACAAATGTGTACTAAATGTTACTTTCTAAAGTCGTTTCTTTTATATTGTAATCTTGTACGGGCAATTGCGTCAGGAAAGTAACAGTCAGAGAAATTGCACGGCTTTACTAACGACCTCTTCAACGATATTGTGATGACTTTCGCGCCTACTACTAGTAGGGAGAAGTACTAGTGATACAGCTGAGACACGAAGTCTTGAAACTTTGATTCCTTGGACGATATGAGAGCAAATGAGACCCAAGGGGGTAAGACAGCTAGTCTCGAGATTCTCGAAGAGTTGTAAATGTTTGAAAATGCTGCGTTTTTCAGGCACCGGATGTAATACATAGTTTGGCTCATATACGATACAAGATACATAAATATCTGCAAACCAGCAACGGCGCGCAGAAACTGGTTTTGTAACAGAAACTAACAATACACGAAGCACTCGCAGACAGCCTCTATTTACTACCACCAGTGAAATAATTTGCACCATGAACCAATGCGTAAATGACCCCGACAGGTGCAGCAACAAGAGCGGCTGGAGCTAGGACGATGGGAGCAGCAATAGCCAATCCAAATTTCTCCGCAAAAGTCATGTCTGCAGGGCGTTTTAATTTCTCCAGCACTCTCTCCAGAGTTCCAGCGTCCTTGTCCTTTCCTTGCTGCTTCAAGCTCTCAAGCTTATCTTTGCCCTCAGCAGAAATCATTTTGCCGACAGTAGTCTTACCTAATTCACCGCCGGTTTTATACATCTCATCTTGCACAAGAAGGTAAACACGAGGAACCGATAATAGCGCAGTAACAATGCCAGCCGCCGCGTCAAAGTCGTCCTCAGGCAACCTTACTGTTGAATGAATACCGTCCCAATGCTCTTTTAAAATGTGGGCCTCCCTCATTTCTTGCTCGTTCTTTTTCTTGTCGGAAGACCACATTGTGGTACCTATAATGACGTTCCCCATTGCTCCTGCGCCGCACATCTGTCGAAGAATTGAGAGTGTTCTCTTCTGGCTGCCAGAGAATCGCCGCTCACTAATGTCGTGCAGGAAAATAACGCCGTGAAGCTGGCTGCCCTCAAGAGCTAGACGTAAGAGGTTCGATGTAATAGCTAAGAGTATATCGATGTTGTCCCGCACATCATCATCGAAACCGGGGGTATCAATGAGTATGACACTTCTATCATTGACATGGCAATTGTATGGTGTGACCTCCACCGTGGCTAATACACGGGTGATCAGCGGATTGTGAACATAATGAAGAGTAGGAACGTACTTGAGTTAGTGCCACCGTCCACATCTGGTTCGTTCCCAGTATCATCCTTTCCACGGAGCAACTTGATGAAGCTGCTTTTACCTGAGCCTGTCTTTCCCAGCAACATGAATACTGCGGGGGGCAAGGCTTTGTGCTCTGTGGAATACTGGTCAACAGGGGTCCTGTGTCTACGCTACATATTGATATAAAGAATGAAGATTCGGGTGTCAGGAAATATAAGGGGTGAAGATTCGGGCATCAGGAAATGTAATAGTGAGAACTACCTGAAGATGAAGTACTTGCCCTTGGGCCGTCGCAATTCTTTTCCGTTCCCATCGTTGGGGCTTATATGTGGGGACAGTCTGTAGACTTTGAACTTTGCTAAGGACGATCTCCAACTTGTGTTTTACAGCAGGAATATGTTGCGGGAGATGTGATAGAGTGAGTGAGAGTTGACATACGAGGAGCTTGGGGGAAAGATGTACTATAAATGTATATTCCTTGATCGCCCTGGAAGGAAAGAGACGGCAATTAATGTACCGGCATAGAAAAGGAACAGCAAACCGAGGGTGGGCGGCACAGGCTTGCTGATGCCTGAAGCTGGATGGTTGCCTGAAAGTGGGTGCCTGAAGCCTATTGTCTCACATCAAAGCGCCTATTGCAGCGAATGCTCCTTGCTTAGCGCATGTATTTACAGAATGCCACTTTCAGCAAATACTAGGGTCATACCTGATCTAGTGGGTTCTAGGTATTCCCCGGTTGTTACCTAGTGGTAGAGGGATACTTCAGCGTCCGGTATCGACTGTTCTGGGCCATCCCCCCTTATTTCTTCAACACCCTTCCTCAACTCCGCCGAGACTTGACGAAGAGCAAGGTCGCTCCTCCTTTAAAGACTTTGATTAGTCTTCATTGCCAACGCCAGTCCTTTTGTTTTCCTCCTTCTTCCTTATGGGGATAGCCTCCTTCTCAAATACAATGTGGCCTCTTGGCTGTCTCCTCTCTGGGTTGAACTCCTACTCAGATCACCGCTACACTATGTGTCCAAACCTCTCTCTTGAGCCTTCTCCTCACCGAAGAGCTCCACCTCTTTTCTCTCCTGTGGGTAACAAACCTTTACCAAGGGGACGAGTAGCGAGTATTCCGCAGGGTACGAAAGGGGTAGTAGAGATCGATGTGGAAGCCTGCAGTAGGGGTCCTAAGGGACTCTAGCGTTGGTAAGGGTCAACGGGACGAGGGAAGCAGCGGCTCGATGGTCTTCTTGAGTAAAGAAGAGGAAATAATATTGTATAGTAATAGACAGCGTAGGTACCGAAGTCGTTACGTAGCAAAAAAAGAAGAGAAAAAGAACAAGAAACGAGGGCGAGCCCTCCTTATACCCAAGCAAATCCCTGTGATGACAAATCCAAAGTAACTTATATACTTACAACCCACAGAACCCGATGGAACCCAATAAAACCTTTCTGACTAATCCAACTTCTCGTAACCCAGTATATTCACTCATCGATCCATGAAACCTTTACCAGAAACGCGAATATAATGCAGTCTATGAGAATGTGAAAAGTAGTAAACATGGCAGTTTCTCCCGTCTCAAGAACTGAACCGAGCCTCGGCTAAGTTCGGCTAATCTCTTTCTACCGGTTGGGTGGCGGCTCAATTCTTGACGCCAGCTCAGCCCAACAGGAAGGAGTTCTCTTTCAATATTACACTGTATTCGATCGTGGACCCAGCAGTACCTCGGGCAGTACAGTTACATCAGCTATTTGGTAACACTTTTACCTTTTCCTTTGTTGTTTTTCGATTTGTGGGATTCAGGGGAAATTTCTTGTCATCTGCTGTGTAAGAAGATTTGCGGTTGGTATCAGACCATAATTACTATGACAAGGAGCTGGGCGGGGGATGGGAGGGATTTTGTTCACGCCACAGGTCTTTACCTCTATGCGATATTCATGTATTCAGAATTAATTCAATCTATGAAAACAAAAAAAAAAAAAAAAAATCGACTGTTCTGTGCCCTTTTCGGGCTACAACTGGATGTTGAGAGCAATAGCGAACACTGAAATATTGGTTGCCATAGCAGACAGATACCAGAAACCTTATACCTTCAACAACAGCTGCTTTCGACAACGAACACAAGATGGAGTCTCCGCATTTGATCTATGCGTTTACTGCCGCTACTATAGGAGCTGTTACTCATATGTCTCATCATTTGGAAGCGGGCAATCATGGAAAATAATGAACAAAAGACCGTTATAGAGCCCCTGTAAGGGTGCCACTTATATTGCGTACTCGCATTTACCTGACCAATCCAGAGGCCTTGTCAATAAAAAAACAAACCCATATTGACCTGGTCAATCCATTTCATGGATCGATTAGTTAATACACTGGGTTACGAGGAGTTGGATTAGTCAGAAAGGTTCTATTGAGTTCTATCGGGTTCTGTCATTTGTAAGTGTGTAAGTCACTTTGGATTTATCATCGCTGGGATTTCCTTGGGTATATTAGAAGGTTTCGTCCTCGCCTCTGTTCTCTTTCTCTTCTTTCTTTTGATACGCAATATCTTCTGTACCTACACTGTCTATTACTATATAATATTTTTTCCTCTTCTTTACTCAAGAAGACCACCATGCTGCTGCTTGCCTTGTCCGTTGACCCTTACCAATGCTAGAGTACCTCAGGACCCATGTTGCATGCTTGTAACGGCAGCTAGGCGGGTTGGCTATGTGAGTTGTCTGGGTATAAGGGAGAAGGATTATGTAGTGTGGTTGGGTTTAGCGAAGCGGGTTTCTATTATGTTCTTTTTGTTTCTGTTACGCGAGGGTATGAGTCAGCATTGGGATAGGGTATGGATATATAAGGGGGGCGTTGTCTCGTGATTTCTTATTTCTCTTTCTTTCTCTTTTCTCTTTATGCAACCTCTGTATTCTACTTGCTCGCTAAGGCTCGCAAAGAACTCCCTGATAACAAACCTCGCTTTAAAAACATTTTATTTTTTATTCCCCTCGGTTTACCCTGGTATACCATACCAGGCTGAGCCACTTTGTCCCCGATCGTACGGTCGCGTGTTGTTGTTCCAAGCGAAAGAAACACCAAGAAAACTGGCTTCTAGCGAAGAATTCTCCAGCCTTGACCTCCCAAAGGGAAGGAAAAGAAACCTTTCCGAAACATCACTCTACGCCGCCAGAAGAACTGGACATTCAATTATGTCGCAACAAGCCTCGCTCCAGTCCTTTTTTACCCAGTCCTCCCAGCAAGGGACAGCCCCTCCGCAGAACAGGAACACTCCAGTTCCCGACCCAAACCCGTCCGGAGCTCAGGAACAGGAGTTCTTCTCGACCTTTGCAACAGAATCCGACTACAACGACCCATACCAACCGAGAATTGACTACCTCTATCCGAGCATCGTTCCCCAGGACACTCACACCCAGACGGACCTGAACTATATTACCTGGGCCATTAGACATGCCACCAGCCGAATCTGCCCACCCACCGACAGGATTGAAATCCTCGAAGAGCAAACAACCACACTCCGGAGAACAGTGGATACACTGAGGCACCAAATCGAGGCGCAGACAACCATGATCACCAGTATGCACTCGGCGATCCATCTTCTCCTCAACAAACAACCACAACCGCAGCAACCGCAACAACCACAACAAAACCAACAACAGCATCAACAGCAACAACAGCGAAAACAACAACCGCAGGGATAGAGAATGCCCCCTCCAGCGGTCCCTCAAATAATTCCCCAAGCAGCGCCTCAGGCAGCTCCTCAGGCCCCCCCACCCGCACCCCCCCAACAAGCCCCATCCCGTGGATGGAAAGCAGGCACCTGGGCCGCCGTGGCCTCGGCACCCGGTCCTGCTCAAGGAAATTTCCAGGTTGTGGAGAGAAGGAAGAAGTCCGCAAAGCCAAAAGCGGACCCTCTCTTCAAGCCAGAATATACAAAAATCAACAGAGAAATCATTGTTGAAACCACTGCCCCATCCGACGTCAATCCCTCCGAGATCAGGACCCTAGTTAATGCAAGAATTCAGGACGAATCCTGCCACTTTATTTCAGCAAGGAGAACACCCAAGGACAACTTCATCCTGGAAACAAAGTTTGTCACCCCAGCAACAAAGGCAATGGAGTATGCCAAAGAAATTGAGGAGGCTCTCCTCACCCTACAAGTACCAGTCGCCATTATCCGGGCAAACTCCAAATGGTCAAAGTTCCTTATTCACGGAATCCCCACAACGGTCGGAGAAGGCGTCGAGGCAGGACAACTGGTAGCATCCGAAATTAGAAGCAACTATGGAGATAACTTCCAACTTGCCCAGGTTCCCCGCTGGATCTCCAGAGCAGAGACTCGAATGGAGAAAACCCACTCATCAATGGTCATCGCGCTCCCAGGACAAGTCACAATGGAAACACTAGGAGTTAAGTTCCTATCCCTCTTTAACCGAAGCTGCCACATCGAGGCCTTCCTCCCAACCTTCCCAGAAACCCAATGCGCGAAGTGCCTCGAATACGGTCACCGCCAGGAGAAATGCAAAAACAACGGGAGATGCGGTCACTGTGCCGGACACCATCTCACCAGCTTCCACCCATGCAATCAATGCCAGGGAGGATATAGATGCACCCACACCCCAATCAGATGCCTGAACTGCAAAGGAATCCATAAGGCCTCCGACCCAGCATGCCCCGAAAGAGTCAAACGCCGATTCCTAAACAAAGGAAAAGAAAACGCCCCACCCGCTCAAGACCCACCGGCCGCACCCGTCCAAGAGTCGATAGTTCAAGTACCAGCCACCGCCCCAGTCGGAGCTATACCCGTTCCCGAAGACGACCAACCCATGACGAACAATGCCTAGGCTGCGAACAACCGCGCTCGCACACCAACTTAACTGTGCACGGAGCGAACTCATCACCAAGGCGGCGGTAGAAGAAGCGGAAACAGACTCTAGTATTTATTTCCTATTATTACAAGAACCATGGACCTCAGCAGAGGGATACCCACCAGAATCGAACCTCTTTTATATTTTTACAGCCAGCAATACCAACACAAAATGCGCAACATACGTCCGCAAACATGCCAACCTCAAACCAAAACACCACTATACACATGATAACTTCATAGTATCGATTACGGTAGAAATCCAGACCAAGAAAACCCAAATCCTAAACATATACTCCCCAGGCCGAAGTGGCCCCTTCGCTCAAATAGCAAGTACAATCCAAACCCTTGATAACTGTCTAGTAATGGGAGACTTCAACTGCCACCATCAGATGTGGTACGGAGTAAATTCACATGAGTACAGAAACAACATTCGAGCAGACCGCGTCAATGGCGCACGGTTAAAACGATGGATAACCCGACAGAAACTGACCCTCCTGAACGAACCAGGCGTTTTCACGCATTTCCCCAGAGACAGAGGGAAAAGGCCCACAACCATCGACCTTGCATTTGTAAAAGGCCCGACACTTGACCACAACCCACGATGGAGCACTGAACCCTACGGAGCGGGCTCAGACCCCGGGAGAACCTCCGTTCACTTACACCTGGAAAAATCACCTTTTGTACCAAGACGAATGTGGCGCCAAACAGACTGGAAGCTATTGGAGAACAACATGTCAAACATTTCTATCCCTGCAGAGGCATGGGAAACCAAGGAACATACAGAACAAACCGTTGATTTCTTCCTAGAACTGGTCAGGTCAACAGTCAGCATAGTAACACCACTCTCGAAGGAGGGGGTAAGAGCCAACTCCTGGTGGTCAGATGAAATGAAACAAATGAAGGCAAGGGTAAACGCAGCAGAAAGGAAGGCGAGAAACACGAGGAAACCCAATCACGTGGAGGAACACCGGAAGGCCTGCAGAGAATGGACAGTCATGATCCGGAAAGCAAAAGCGGACCAGCGGGAAAAGACAATGAACGAAGCGAAAGGTAGTGAAGTCTGGAGAATCCTAAACGCAGGAAGGAGAAGAGACACAATCATACCAACCATACAAGGTGAAGAAACGTTTGCGGAGAAGTGTCAAGCTCTAAGAGCCCAACTTTTCCCCTCGAAACGGACGTCCCCCGACCATCCCCCCCTAAACATTAGACCCCCCTCTTTTGACCTTAGCAACACCTTCGACATAGTCACCCCCGAAGAACTTAACAAAGCAATCGACTCTTGCCCAGCGCACTCAGCGACCGGCCCGGATGGTATCCCCTACACCTTTATTAAAGCAATAGTCAGAGCAAACACAACTCTAATTCAAGACATGTTCTCTGCCATGCTCCGGCACGGTGTACACCCAGCGGAATGAAAAATAGCTAAGTGTATCCCGATCCCGAAACCCGGTAAAGCAAACTACCATGAAGCAAAAGCCTACCGACCCATCTCCCTTCTACAATGTTTCAGTAAAATCCTGGAAAAGATAGTGGCCTAAAGACTCTGCACTGCTGGAGAAATCCTAGGTACACTCTCAGCGAATCAATTTGGAGGAAGACCAACCATTTCGGCAATCGACGCCCTCCTGAAAACCTTAACACCAATACAACAAAACCTACTACTGAAAAACAGTACCGGAATTGCCCGGCGAGACAGACCAGCGATCCTAACCAACGATATCCAAGGAGCATTTAATTGTGTCGACCATCTACTCCTCGCGGAAATCATGCACCAACAAAAATTCCCCACCTATCTGACAGAATGGTGCAAAGAATTCAATACCGGCAGAAAACTACAGTTCCAATTTAACCACGAGCTAGAGGAACCACAGCCCTTTGACTCTGGAGTGCCGCAAGGTAGCCCCATGTCCCCGGTACTATTTATGATCTATGCCGGTGTAACCCTGGACCCAACTAGCAGCCCAAAAGAGATGGACACAACTTACATCGATGACGATGCGCTGGTGCAGATATCCAAAACACCAGGCTTCACAATCAAGAGAATGGAGGAACGAATGAGAGAAAGACTGATCAAAGCTGAGCCACTCCAAATCAAATACGACCTGGATAAATCCGATCTGATCTTCTTCCGGCCCACCACATCATCCACACAACAACCACGACTTCCAGTCAAAGTTAACAACATCAATATATACCCCAAGGAGAGGCTGAAATACGTAGGAGTCTGGATAGATCCGACCCTCTCCTTCCGGCCCCACATCGAAGCAGCAATCGCAAAAGGCCAGAAAGCTCTCCACCAAATCCGAAATACTGCCCGCCTGCCAGGTATAACAGTCAAGACAGTTCATCACCTAATAACGCAAGGCTTCCTTCCAAGCCTGCTCTACGGATCCGAGGCTTGGTGGACTGGTGCAGAGCACATTATTAGATCCCTCGAACCACTATACAATGAAGCTGCCCGGGTCATCACAGGCCTACCTCGATGGACCAAGAGAGCTAAACTCCTCCGAGAACCAGGAGTACCCCCCCTTGAACACCTCCTGACTTATCGCTCAAGAAAGTACGGAACTAGAATACTCTGCACCGATGCAACCCATCCCAACAATGAATCCCTGATCAAGCTCCTCCCATACAGAGAGACAAACATCAAAGGGACAGGCCTACACCGAATTGCCTCTCTCCTACTCCCATATCAAACCCCCGGAAATGCGAGAGACAAATGGAATCAAAATAAACTACTACGCGACCACCTGTTGGAAGAATGGAATACACAACCAATACCGAACTACCACCACCGGGGGGATTTCCGCCCTCCTGCCAAGATTGCGAAACTTACCCTCATGGAAGCAAAAAAAGTTTTTCGAATCCGGTGCCAAACTACCCGAATCGACAAACACGCAGTACATACAGACCCCGAACCATGCCAGTGTGGTATGGAAAACTCAGCGAAACATATACTTATGGAATGCCCAGCGTGGGCTCGGATCCGCGCGCCTCTGATAGAAAGATCCCCGGAGCGATGACCTGGGAAAACTGGATGTTTACAAACTTGAGAACGGATCTCATCCTACAATTTGCAAAAGATTCTCAACTCTCGAAATGGTACGAGTCGGCGGAGGTGGAAGCGGACCTGGAGGAGGGGATGGAAGAAAATGATTAGGGACGGGATTAGGAAGGGTTGTTTTCTCTTACCTTTTAATTTCGGTTTTATTTCTGTTTTGATGGATCCAGCGCCCGAGTTCGCTGAGATATGTTATTTCTCCTTGTCGTTGGGTTTTTCTGGTTGAGTATCGTTCCGGGATTTCCTTGTTATTGTTTGTGTTCGTTTGTGTTCGCTTCTGTTCTTGTTTGTTTGCGTTTGTTGTTTTTGTTTTTTCTTTTTTTTGTTCGGTTTGTGTTTTAGGCGGTTGGTCCGGTGTGCGATAAGTCTTGTACTTCAAAGCAATATAAGTTTCTTCTTCTTCTTCTTCTGTATTCTACTCGCTCACCTCTGGCTCGCGATAGGATTTCTTCCCCCCGAGATGGAGTTATACTGATTCTCGAATTGCTTCGGTCCCTGAACTTCCCTCGCTCGACACCCCCATTCTTTGCTCGTTCGGTACCCTCACGGGTCGCGTCCACCGTTCACCCCTCACCAAAACAACGGCTACTCTTTACAGCCATCCTTGCCCCTCCTTATTTTCACTCATCGCACGAGTGAGCCCACATGTCGGGTACGCACACTGTCAGTAATCTCCAGTCAGCGAGAACCTACTGCCAAAGCGCTCGACAGCCCGCGAAGTTAGCGACCTCTCGGTCGCGAAACTATCGTCAAATTTTTATCCGAGGTCCAGTGACCTTACCCCTCTTTATCGGCCTTAACCAGGCCACCCACTTTTACCCGAGGCGGCCCGCTCCCCTCACCCCAACCCAACCGGTCTCCGAGACCACCCTCAACACAACACGGTCGGCACTTTCGATTGCGACCCCCATACATACTGAGCCTTCGGCTCAACCCTTTTTGCATGTCCCCTCCAGAGGACACCACTTCAAACACGACTCGGGCACAGTCTTTAGCCGTTGCTCCAGGGACCGACGACCCCACCCACTCCTTACTTGACCAACCGGTCACCACTCCTCAATTCCTCGCTGCCTGACAACCAGAAGCCCGAGGACCCACACTCGACCCACCCCCCCTCGCTTTCACACCTGACGCTGTTGCGGTTGGCCTCTCCTGCCTTCGTGCGCGTGGTTTCCCAGTCCTGTTAAGGTTCGTCCACAGATATGACACCGGGAACGTTGGTAATGATATCGCTTCGATTGAACACTACGTTTAGGATTGTGCTCGCTAATGCAGTTGACGGAGAAGTTTGGGGTTCTTACTTTTTTACTACGGGGAGGTTTCTTTGTTGTCGCTTAGATTCTGCTTACCTGTACCACTTGTTATTCGCGCCCTCTTCGTGCGCTGTTTTTCTCTTTTTATGTACGTAGTTCTCGTAGCTGCGGTAGTTAGTTTTTGTACTTCGTTTTTGTTTTCGGGTTAGTCGGTGGAGGTTGTAGTCGGGTAGTTAGGTGTGCGATAAGCTTCGGCTTCTAAGCAATATAAGTTTCTTCTTCTTCTTCTTCTGTATTTTACAGTCACGAATACTATTTGGTTCGCGCTACGTCATAGGGTTTACCCGGTATACTAGACCAGGTACAACCATCCATAGTCCATAATCCACAGTCCCCGTTCTTGCCTCAGGTGTACCCTTCGGCCCAATAGTTCATAGTCCACGAACCTCCTACGTCCACGTCTTCGCCTCGGTTGTATTCCTTGGCTTCATAGTTCCTACGCCCATAGTCTCCGTTACACTTAGGTTGCATCCTCTACAGCCAACCGATACAACACCACCTTGCTTAGCTCTGGTCGTGACTATGTCCGACACCACTCAGGATATGCTGTTGCAGCGTCTTTCAGAATTTCTGACCACCTATGGTCCCCTCCCAGCCGATATAGACTTCGGCGAAGAACTTACGGAGGCTCATGGTCTTATTGCTGAGTGTTTGGAGGCTCTCACCAAGCCTCTTGACACCCCCGCGCGACTAGAACCCGTTATTGACAAAGCTCAGGAAGAGGTCATTGCCGGCCTCACCACAGAACTAGAAGCAGCCAACGAAAAGGCTGCCGATTTTTGGCAAACCTTGTGCGATAACCAGGAAGATTCTACCGAGATCTTCCGAGGTCGCGACGAGGTTATCGTTGCTTTGAAGATTGAGCTGGAGGAGTCTAAGGCCGAAAAGGAGGAGCTTCGGTATCGCCTGGCACTACATCAGGAAAGTCTCGCCACCGCTGATGAGAACCTCGCTGATGCTGAAGATGAGATTCTTCACATCACCTCTGTTGCAAAGGCCTGGGAGGCCCAAGCCAATGCCATGATTGCTGACCTTCGTTCTCGTATCTCCGCCGCCATAGTTAAACCCCGATCCCGCCATGTCTCCGTTAAACCTCGTTATCTCACCCCTCGCTCACAAGACCCCCGTACCATCAACAATTGGCGAGAAAAGCCAATTGAACAAGTGTCTCAAAAGCCGGCGTTAAAAGGTCAGCCCCTTTGGTAAAGATTGGCAAACCAAAGGGGCCAACCCCGCCACCTGTCTCTGTTCTTCCTGCTGTTACTGTGTCCGAGGATAAGATGTTTGAAGACTCTCTTGTCGTCACCTGCTCTGTCTCCCAGAATCCCGACTCCTTCGTTCCCACCTATGCTCTCATCGACACGGGAGCATCAGGTTATGCGTTCATCGATCAAGGTTTTGTGAAAAAGCATGGACTCTCCTTGGAACCCCTGAAAACATCACGCCTACTCGAGGTAATCGATGGTAGGCCAGTCAAATCAGGAAAAATTACCCATGTTGCTCGCCTCTCGTTAGATATCCATGGCCATCAGGAAACTGCTTTGTTTTTCGTTACCCATCTAAGTCACTATCCGATTGTGATGGGAATGCCTTGGATGCGGCAACATGATGTTACCATTCGACCAAAGAAAAATCTACTCGTTTTTAACTCTTGGAACTGCTGTCAACACTGTTCACTCAGTGGAACGGCGGTTACTGTCCATGGCATATCGATCCCCTTACCAGAATTTCATACAGTTGTCAGCTCAGTAGCTGATAAGTCCACCACCGACGTCAAGCAACTCGTACCAAAGGAATTCCACCATCGCCTTCCCATGTTTAAAGAATACGATGCCTCAGTCCTTCCACCTCACCGACCCTCCCATGACATTGAAATAATTTTGGAAGAGGGTAAACGACCACCGTATGGACCCATCTATGGCCTGTCGCAGACTGAATTGAAAGCATTACGGGAATATCTTGATGAGAACTTACCCAAAGGATTTATTCGGGCCAGTGAATCACCGGCGGGAGCACCTATACTATTTGTAAAGAAAAGTGATGGGACTCTCCGGCTATGTGTAGATTACCGAGGCCTCAATGCGATCACGATCAAAAATCGGTATCCGTTACCACTGTTAAAGGAAACTTTGGCTAAACTTTTGAAGGCACAGTACTATACCAAGTTGGATCTACGTTGGGGATACAATCAGATCAGGGTAGCGGAGGGAGACGAATGGAAAACAGCATTTAGAACTCGATATGGACATTTCGAGTATACAGTAATGCCGTTCGGATTAGCCAACGCCCCCGCCACCTTTCAACATTGGATTAATGATATCCTACGGCGTTATCTCGATCAATTTGTCACGGCTTATTGGATGATATACTAATTTATTCGGAAACTTTGTCAGAACATAAGGATCACGTCCAGAAGGTTTTGAAGGTACTTGATGAGAATCATGTTCACCTTAAACCTGAAAAATGTGAATTTATGGTCCAGGAAACGAAATATCTCGGCCTTATTCTCACCCCGAATGGGAATAGGATGGATCCGAAGAAAGTTGTTGACGTATTAGAATGGTCCACACCAAGGAATCTCCATGATGTTCAGGTATTTTTAGGATTTGCAAATTTCTATCGACGGTTTATTTTGAGATATTCAAAAATTGTTGCTCCGCTTACAGCTCTGACCAAGAAAAATGTCAAATTCGAATGGACGGATGAAAGGGAAGAAGCATTCCAGACATTGAAAAAGATGTTCACAACGGCACCCATACTAATGCACTTTGATCCGGATCGGAAAATCGTGGTAGAAACCGATGCATCTGACTATGTTTCTGCTGGAATACTGTCTCAACGTGACGATGAAGGAATTCTACATCCAGTCGCTTTCTTCTCTAAGAAACATTCCCCTGCGGAATGTAACTATGAGATCTATGACAAAGAACTCCTGGCAATCGTACGATGTTTTGAGGAATGGCGACATCATTTAGAGGGGGCACAATTCCCAATTGAAGTTCTTAGCGACCATCGGAACCTCGAATATTTCATGTCAACAAAGTTATTAAACCGTCGACAAGCCCGTTGGTCGGAATTTCTTTCACATTTCGATTTCGTCATTCAATTTAGACCAGGAAAACAAGGGGCGAAACCAGATGCATTGACTAGAAGGTCGGGTGACCTGCCTAAAGAAGGGGATGAGCGGTTGACCCATCAGAGTCAAGTGGTGTTGAAGCGAAAAAATTTAGATGCAAAGCTAAGTTTGTTCGCGGGTTCTTTTTCAAATGAATCCGCTGAAGGAATGTCCACTGTAGAAGAGTTGTTTTTAAATGCTTACCAAGTTGACAGTTTCCCGAACAAAGTCCTTGCAATGCTTCGGAATGGCGTCAGTTACTCGAATATGATTTCGCTTGCCGAATGCACGTAAGACAATAACGGTCGGCTACTTTATCGTGGCGCACTCTATGTACCGGATGACAACGATCTTAGGCTAAGACTCCTAAAGGAACATCATGACAAACCATCGGCAGGCCATCCAGGCAGAGCGAAGACTTTGGAACTCCTGAATCGAGAGTACTACTGGCCACAGATGCGAAAATATGTCGACCAGTACGTTAGGAATTGCAATGTGTGTGCCCGTAGCAAGGCACCACGCAATGCACCTTATGGGGTACTTCGACCTATGCCAATACCCGATGGATCATGGAGGGACGGATCAATGGATTTCGTTACTGATCTTCCGGAAAGCGATGGATATAATGCGATATTGGTGGTAGTGGATCGACTAACCAAGATGCGACATCTGATTGCCACAACTAAAGAGGTGGATTCAAAAGAAGTAGCGAGGTTGTATATCGATAATGTTTGGAAATTACATGGACTCCCTGAAACTATGGTATCTGATCGAGGAACACAATTTGTTGCGGAATTCTGGAGGTCCCTTTGCGATCGTTTGGAAATATCGCCAAAGTTCTCTACAGCATTTCACCCCCAGACGGATGGACAAACGGAAAGAATCAATGCTGTGATGGAACAATACCTTCGAAGTTATGTTTCTTATCAACAGGACGATTGGGTTCGATGGTTGCCAATGGCCGAGTTTGCAACAAATAACCATGCTTCGGAAACGACGAGAATCTCTCCATTTTACGCCAACTCAGGGAGGAATCCAAGAATGACTTTTGGTCCTTTGGAATATGGTAGGATGACAGCGGAGGATCAGGCCAATAGTATTGCAAGGGAGATGAAGGATATATTGGATTTTCTAAAGGATGAATTGTTCCGAGCGCAAAGAATTCAAGAAGAGTCGGCCAATATGAGTCGGACTCCAGCGCCTCACTATCGTATGGGGGATAAAGTTTTCCTATCGACCCGCCATGTCCTCACCAAACGACCCTCGAAAAAACTCGATTGGAAGCGTATTGGGCCATATATCATTAAGCGAATTGTCAATCCCTATGCCTACGAATTAGAGCTTCCCCGTTCTATGAAGGTCCATCCTGTGTCTCATGTTTCGTTACTGTCGCCGGAAGCTATTGATCCCCTACCGGGTCAGCAACAATTGCCGCCACCCCCAGTCGAAATTGAAGGTCAAGAGGAATGGGAGGTTGAAGACATTTTGGATTCCAGAAGCCGTCGGGGAAGGTTTGAATACTTGGTAAAGTATATTGGTTATGATGAAGCTTCGTGGCAGCCATTGTCGGATGTCGAACACTCGCCCGATATCGTCAAACGATTCCATGAACGTTATCCACGGAAGCCTAAGCCTACCAGGAGGTAGGCCTTAGAGGGGGGAGTGGTCTGTAACGGCAGCTAGGCGGGTTGGCTATTTGAGTTGTCTGGGTATAAGGGAGAAGGATTATGTAGTGTGGTTGGGTTTAGCGAAGCGGGTTTCTATTATGTTCTTTTTGTTTCTGTTACGCGAGGGTATGAGTCAGCATTGGGATAGGGTATGGATATATAAGGGGGGCGTTGTCTGGTGATTTCTTGTTTCTCTTTCTTTCTCTTTTCTCTTTATGCAACCTCTGTATTCTACTTGCTCGCTAAGGCTCGCAAAGAACTCCCGGATAATCAACCTCGCTTTAAAAACTTCTTATTTTACTCCTCTCGGTTTATCCTGGTATATCATACCAGGCTGAGCCACTTTGTCCCCGATCGTACGGTCGCGTTTTGTTGTTCCAAGCGAAAGAAACCTACGAAACTGGCTTCTAGCGAAGAATTCTCTAGTCTTGACCTCCCGAAGGGAAGGAAAAGAAATCTATCTGAAACATCACTCTACGCCGCCAGAAGAACTGGACACTCAATCATGTCGCAGCAAGCCTCGCTCCAGTCCTTTTTTACCCAGTCTTCCCAGCCTTCCCAGCAAGGGACAGCCCCCTCGCAGAACAGGAACACTCAGGTTCCCGACCCAACCCCACCCGGAGCTCAGGAACAAGAATTCTCCTCGACCTTTGCAACAGAATCCGACTACAACGACCCCTACCAACCGAGAGTCGACTACCTCTACCCGAGCATTGTCCCCCAGGACACCCACACCCAGACGGACCTGAATTACATTACCTGGGCCATTAGACATGCCACCAGCCGAATCTGCCCACCCACCGACAGGATTGAAATCCTCGAAGAGCAAACGACCACACTCCGGAGAACAGTGGATACACTGAGGCACCAAATCGAGGCGCAGACAACTATGATCACCAGTATGCACTCGGCGATCCATCTTCTCCTCAACAAACAGCCACAACCGCAGCAACCGCAACAACCACAACAAAACCAACAACAGCAACAACAGCAACAACAGCGAAAACAACAACCGCAGGGACAGAGAATGCCCCCTCCAGCGGTCCCCCAAATAATTCCCCAAGCAGCGCCTCAGGCAGCCCCTCAGGCCCCCCCACCCGCACCCCCCCAACAAGCCCCACCCCGTGGATGGAAAGCAGGGACCTGGGCCGCCGTGGCCTCGGCACCCGGTCCTGCCCAAGGAAACTTCCAAGTTGTCGAGAGGAAAAAGAAGTCCGCAAAGCCGAAAGCGGACCCCATCTTCAAACCAGAGTACACCAAAATCAACAGGGAGATCATTGTTGAAACCACTGCCCCATCCGATGTCAACCCCTCTGAGATCAGGACCCTAGTCAATGCAAGGATTCAGGACGAATCCTGCCATTTCATTTCAGCAAGGAGAACACCCAAAGACAACTTCATCCTGGAAACAAAGTTCGTCACCCCTGAAACGAAGGCAATGGAATATGCCAAAGAAATTGAGGAGGCCCTCCTCACCCTACAGGTACCGGTCGCTGTCATCCGCGCAAACTCTAAATGGTCAAAGTTTCTCCTCCATGGAATTCCCACAACGGTCGGGGAGGGCATCGAGGCGGGACAATTGGTAGCATCAGAAATCAGAAGCAACTATGGAGAGAACTTCCAACTTGCACAGATTCCCCGCTGGATCTCGAGAGCAGAGACTCGAATGGAGAAAACCCACTCATCAATGGTCATCGCGCTCCCAGGACAAATTACAATGGAAACCCTAGGAGTTAAATTCCTATCTCTCTTTAACTGGAGCTGCCATATCGAGGCCTTCCTTCCAACCTTCCCGGATACTCAGTGTGCAAAGTGCCTTGAGTACGGCCACCGCCAAGAGAAATGTAAGAACATTGGGAAATGCGGCCACTGCGCCGGAGATCATCTTACCAGTTTCCACCCATGCAATCAATGCCAGGGAGGACATAGATGCACCCAAACTCCAATCAGATGTCTGAACTGTAAAGGAGCTCATAAGGCCTCCGACCCAGCATGCCCCGAGAGAGCCAAACGCCGATTCCTCAATAAAGGGAAGGAAAGTGCCCCACCCGCTCAAGACCCACCGGCCGCACCCGTCCAAGAGCTGCTTCCAATAGTTCAAGTACCAGCCACCGCCCCAGTCGGAGCCACACCCGTTCCCGAAGATGACCAACCCATGACAAATAATGCTTAGGCCTCGAACCACCGCGCTCGCACACCAACTCAATTGTGCACGGAGCGAACTCATTGCCAAGGCGGCGGTAGAAGAAGCGGAAACAGACTCTAGTATTTATTTCCTATTATTACAAGAACCATGGACCTCAGCAGAGGGATACCCACCAGAATCAAATCTCTTTTATATTTTTACGGCCAGCAACACCAATACAAAATGTGCAACATACGTCCGCAAACATGCGAATCTCAAACCAAAACACCACTACACACACGATAATTTCATAGTATCGATTACGGTAGAAATCCAAACCAAAAAAACCCAAATCCTAAACATATACTCCCCAGGCCGAAGTGGCCCCTTCGCCCAAATAGCAAGTACAATCCAAACCCTTGATAACTGTCTAGTAATGGGAGACTTCAACTGCCACCATCAGATGTGGTACGGAGTAAATTCACATGAGTACAGAAACAACATTCGAGCAGACCGGGTCAACGGCGCACGGTTAAAACGATGGATAACCCGACAGAAACTGACCCTCCTGAACGAACCAGGCGTCTTTACGCACTTCCCCAGAGACAGAGGGAAGAGGCCCACAACCATCGACCTTGCATTTGTAAAAGGCCCAATACTCGACCACAACCTACGATGGAGCACTGAACCCTACGGAGCGGGCTCAGACCACGGGAGAACCTCCGTCCACTTACACCTGGAAAAACCACCTTTTGTACCAAGACGAATGTGGCGACAAACAGACTGGAAGCTACTGGAGAACCACATGTCAAACATCTCCATCCCTGCAGAGGCATGGGAAACCAAGGAACATACGGAACAAACTGTCGATTTCTTCCTAGAACTGGTTAGGTCAACAGTTAGCATAGTAACACCACTCTCGAAGGAGGGGGTAAGAGCCAACTCCTGGTGGTCAGATGAGATAAAACAGATGAAGGCAAGGGTAAACGCAGCAGAAAGGAAGGCGAGAAATACAAGGAAATCTAATCACCTGGAGGAACACCGGAAGGCTTGCAGAGAATGGACAGCCATGATCCGGAAAGCAAAAGCGGACCAGCGGGAAAAGACGATGAACGAGGTGAAAGGTAGTGAAGTCTGGAGAATCCTAAGCGCAGGAAAGAGACGAGACACAATCATACCAACCATACAAGGTGAAGAAACGTTTGCGGGGAAGTGTCAAGCTCTAAGAGCCCAACTCTTCCCCTCGAAACGGACGTCCCCCGACCATCCCCCCTTGAACATTAGACCCCCCTCTTTTGACCTTAGCAACACCTTCGACATAGTCACCCCCGAAGAACTTAACAAAGCAATCGACTCCTGCCCAGCCCACTCGGCGACCGGCCCGGATGGCATCCCTTATACCTTTATCAAAGCTATAGTCAAAGCAAATACAACTCTAATCCAAGACATGTTCTCCGCTATGCTCCGGCACGGTGTACATCCAGCGGAATGGAAAATAGCTAAGTGTATCCCGATCCCGAAACCCGGTAAAGCAAATTACCATGAAGCAAAAGCCTACCGGCCCATTTCCCTTCTACAATGCTTCAGCAAAATCCTGGAGAAGATAGTGGCCCAGAGACTCTGCACCGCTGGAGAAATCCTAGGCACACTCTCAGCAAACCAATTCGGAGGAAGACCAACCATCTCGGCGATTGATGCCCTCCTGAGAACCTTGACACCAATACAACAAAACCTACTACTAAAAAACAGTACCGGAATCGTCCGGCGAGATAGACCAGCGATCCTAACCAACGACATCCAAGGAGCATTCAATTGTGTCGATCACCTACTCCTCGCGGAAATCATGCACCAACAAAAATTCTCCACCTATCTGACAGAATGGTGTAAGGAATTCAACACCGGCAGAAAACTACAGTTCCAATTCAACCATGAGCTAGAGGAACCACAGCCCTATGATTCCGGAGTGCCGCAAGGTAGCCCCATGTCTCCGGTACTATTCATGATCTATGCCGGAATAATTCTGGACCCAACTAGCAGCCCAAAAGAGATGGACACAACTTACATTGATGACGATGCGCTGGTGCAAATATCCAAAACACCAGGCTTTACAATCAAGAGAATGGAGGAACGAATGAGAGAGAGACTAATTAAAGCTGAGCCACTCCAAATCAAATATGACCCGGACAAATCCGATCTGATCTTCTTCCGGCCCACTACATCATCCACACAACAACCACGACTTCCAGTCAAAGTGAATAACATCAATAAATACCCCAAAGAGAGGCTGAAATACGTAGGAGTCTGGATAGATCCAACCCTCTCCTTCCGGCCCCATATCGAAGCAGCAATCGCAAAAGGCCTAAAAGCCCTCTACCAAATCCGAAACACCGCCCGCCTGCCAGGGATAACAGTCAAGACAGTTCATCACCTAATAACACAGGGCTTCCTTCCAAGCCTGCTCTACGGATCTGAGGCTTGGTGGACTGGCGCAGACCACATCATTAGATCGCTAGAACCACTATACAACGAAGCTGCCCGGATCATCACGGGCCTACCTCGATGGACCAAGAGAGCTAAACTCCTCCGAGAAGCAGGACTACCCCCCCTAGAACACCTCCTAACATATCGCTCAAGAAAGTACGGAACCAGAATACTCTGCACCGAGGCAACCCACCCTAACAATGAATCCCTAATCGAGCTCCTCCCATACAGAGAAGCAAACATCAAAGGGACAGGTCTACACCGAATCGCTTCCCTCCTACTCCCATATCAAACCCCCGGAAATGCGAGAGACAAGTGGAATCAAAACAAACTACTACGCGACCACCTGTTGGAAGAATGGAATACACAACCAATACCGGACTACCATCATCGGGGGGATTTCCGCCCCCCTTCCAAGATTGCGAAACTCACCCTAACGGAAGCGAAAAAAGTTTTTCGAATCCGGTGCCAAACTACCCGAATCGATAAACACGCGGTATATACAGACCCCGAACCATGCCAGTGTGGTATGGAAAACTCAGCGAAACACACACTTATGGAATGCCCAGCGTGGGCTCGAATCCGCGCCCCTCTGATAGAAAAGATCCCCGGAGCGATGACCTGGGAAAACTGGATGTTTACAAACTTGAAAACGGACCTTATCTTACAATTTGCAAAAAACTCTCAACTCTCGAAGTGGTACGAGTCGGCGGAAGCGGAGGCGGACCTAGAAGAGGGGATGGAAGAAAATGATTAGGGATGGGATTAGGAAAGGGTGGTTTCCTTTGTACCTTTTTAATTTTGGTTTTACTTCGTTTTGATGGATCCAGCGCCCGAGTTCGCTGAGATATGTTATTTCTCCTTGTCGTTGGGTTGTTTCTGGTTGAGGGTCGTTCCGGAATTTCCTTATTCCTGTTGATGTTCGTTCGTGTTCGCTTTTGTTCGTGTTTGTTTGTTTGTGTTTGTTGTTTTCTTTCCTTTCGTTCTTTTGTTCGGTTCGTGTTTTAGGCGGTCGGGTCGGCGTGCGATAAGTCTTGTACTTCAAAGCAATATAAGTTTCTTCTTGTTCTTCTGTACTTTACAGTCACGAATACTATTTGGTTCGCGCTACGTCATAGGGTTTACCCGGTATACTAGACCAGGTACAACCATCCATAGTCCATAGTCCACAGTCCCCGTTCTTGCCTTAGGTGTACCCTTCGGCCCCACAGTCCATAGTCCACGAACCTCCTACGTCCACGTCTTCGCCTCGGTTGTATTCCTTGGCTTCATAGTTCCTACGCCCATAGTCCCCGTTACAATGCTCCAATACAGACCTCTATTACCCGCTTCGTATCGTGCAGTATACTCGCTACTCGTTCCCTTGAGAGTACGTTGCATCGTCATCCGCACTGTATGACATGTCCATACCTGATACACCCACATGAGTTTCAGCCAACGATATAGAAGAATTCAAGCGGCAGTATGAGATCGACACTGTTGATTTATCCAACCACACTGCCGTTCTTGTACAATGTATCCATCACGAGAGGGATACCGCTCGCACACAACTCGCCACTGCCCATGAAACCATGGAGAATTCCAAAGAGCAGGTGATACAGCTCAACCTCAACCTCATTGTTGCTCGTGGCCCCCCCGTCCCTACAATCCCTGTCCCCGTTGTCGCTGCTCCCCCAACTATTACTGTCCCTGCCTTCAGGTCCGAAAAGTTCTCAGTCCCTGAACAATTCGACGGCACACGTAGCAAGCTCCTTGAATTCACCACCCAACTCCGAATGAAACTTGAGGTCAACCACGATCGATTCCGAAACGATGCAGCAAAAGTTATCTATTCCGTCAGCCACTTGGAAGAAAGCGCCCTTGATCAGGTCGTTCCACTCGTTAACGCTAACCTTGCCGCCCCCTTCTCCTCCATCACTGCCTTCGTTGCCAACCTGGAAGCCTTATTTGGAGACCCAGATCCCCGGGGTACCGCCCTTCACCAACTCGTCACCCTGAAGCAAGGCAAAGTGGACTTCGCCACATATTACTCACAGTTCCTCCGGATTGTAGCCAACCTAGACTACAACGAAAAAGCCAAGATCGATGCCCTGACCGAAGGACTGTCGGAAGATCTGAAGGATGCCATGACATACCGGACAGACAGGCCTGATACGGTAGAGGCATACGCGACCATGTTAATGACAATCGACAACTAGGTTCGGGGCCGTAAAGCGGAACAACGGGCCACCTGTAATACGATGGGACAACTTACCGCCCCCACCGCTGTCACACGCCCATCTTATACCGCCGGAGGCCTCGCCCCAATAGACCTCTCCACCCTCCAAGTCTGCCCCTCTCAATGCCCTGCCACCGAACAATGATACACCTTTGTCAATGGACAACGTAAAACCTCTGCCACCGAAAAACAATGGTGAAGGGACAACAATCTTTGTATGTACTGCGCCAACCCTGGCCATGTCTTCGCCAACTGCCCCTCTGCCAATCGCCCGCATGATAATCAACCGGTTATGAGGGGCGCCCTCCTCGTACCCGCTGATACTGTCGCCGATCCCGCTGACCCACGTGTAATGTGGGTCTAACGGCAAAGAACTATGATGCCAAGGAATACAACCGAAGCAAGAGGGTAGTAGAGGATGTTCATGACTATGGACTATGTGGCGGCTCTGTTTAATCTGACAACCAAACTGAACCCTATGACGTAGCGTAGAACAAGAATAATATTCGTGGAGTAGAGTACAGAAGAAGAAGAAGAAACTTATATTGCTTTGAAGTACAAGACTTATCGCACGCCGAACCAACCGCCTAAAACACGAACCGAACCAAAAAAGAAAAAAGAAAAAGAAAAAGAAAAACAACAAGCATGAACAAACAAGAACAAGGCGAACACAAACGAACATAAATAGAATAAGGAAATTCAGGAACATTACTCAACCAGAAAACCCAACGACAAGGAGAAATAACATATCTCAGCGGACTCAAGCGCTGGATCCATCAAAACAAGAAGTAAAAGCAAAGTTTAAAGGTAAGAGGAAACTGCCCTTCCTACTCCCGTCCCTAATCATTTTCTTCCATCCCCTCTTCCAGGTCCGCCTCCGCCTCCGCCGACTCGTACCATTTCGAGAGTTGAGATTTTTTTGCAAATTGTAAGATGAGGTCCGTTCTCAAGTTTGTAAACATCCAGTTTTCCCAGGTCATCGCTCTGGGGATCTTCTCTATCAGAGGGACGCGGATTCGAGCGCACGCTGGGCAATCCATAAGTGTATGTTTCGCTGAGTTTTCCATGCCACACTGGCATGGTTCGGGGTTTGTATGTACTGCGTGTTTGTCGATTCGGGTAGTTTGGCACCGGATTCGAAAAACTTTTTTCGCTTCCGTTAGGGTGAGTTTCGCAATCTTGGAAGGGGGGCGGAAATCCCCCCGATGATGGTAGTCCGGTATTGGTTGTGTATTCTATTCTTCCAACAGGTGGTCGCGTAGTAGTTTGTTTTGATTCCACTTATCTCTCGCATTTCCGGGGGTTTGGTATGGGAGTAGGAGGGATGCGATTCGGTGTAAGCCTGTTCCTTTGATATTTGCTTCTCTGTATGGGAGGAGCTCGATCAGGGATTTGTTGTTGGGGTGGGTTGCATCGGTGCAGAGTATTCTGGTTCCGTACTTCCTTGAGCGATATGTGAGGAGATGTTCTAGGGGGGGTAAGCCTGCTTCTCGAAGGAGTTTAGCTCTCTTGGTCCATCGTGGTAGGCCGGTGATGACCCGGGCCGCTTCATTTTATAGTGGTTTGAGGGATCTTATAATGTGGTCTGCGCCAGTCCACCAAGCCTTGGACCCATATAACAGACTTGGAAGGAAGCCTTGTGTTATGATGTGATGGATCGTTTTAACCGTTATGCCTGGCAGGCGGGCGGTGTTTCGAATCTGGTGGAGGGCTTTAAGGCCTTTTGCAATCGCTGCTTCGATGTGGGGCCGGAAGGAGAGGGTCGGATCTATTCAGACTCCTACATATTTCAGCCTCCCCTTGTGGTATATATTGATGTTGTTAACTTTGACTGGAAGTCGTGGTTGTTGTGTGGATGATGTGGTGGGCCGGAAGAAGATCAGATCGGATTTATCCGGGTCGTATTTAATTTGGAGTGGCTCAGCTTTAATTAGTCTTTCTCTCATTCGTTCCTCCATTCTCTTGATTGTGAAGCCTGGTGTTTTGGATATTTGCACCAGCGCATCGTCATCGATGTAAGTTGTGTCCATCTCTTTTAGGCTGCTAGTTGGGTCCAGGATTATTCCGGCATAGATCATGAATAGTACCAGGGACATGGGGCTACCTTGCGGCACTCCAGAGTCAAAGGGCTGTGGTTCCTCTAGCTCGTGGTTAAATTGGAACTGTAGTTTTCTGCCGGTGTTGAATTCCTTGCACCATTCTGTCAGGTAGGAGGGGAATTTTTGTTGGTGCATGATTTCCGCGAGGAGTAGGTGGTCGACACAATTAAATGCTCCTTGGATATCGTTGGTTAGGATCGCTGGTCTGTCTCGCCGGGCGATTCCGGTACTCTTTTTCAGTAGTAGGTTTTGTTGTATTGGTGTTAAGGTTTTCAGGAGGGCGTCGATTGCCGAGATGGTTGGTCTTCCTCCAAATTGATTCGCTGAGAGTGTGCCTAGGATTTCTCCAGCGGTGCAGAGTCTTTGGGCCACTATCTTCTCCAGGATTTTGCTGAAACATTGTAGAAGGGAAATGGGCCGGTAGGCTTTTACTTCATGATAGTTTGCTTTACCGGGTTTCGGGATCGGGATACACTTAGCTATTTTCCATTCCGCTGGATGTACACCGTGCCGGAGCATGGCAGAGAACATGTCTTGAATTAGAGTTGTGTTTGCTCTGACTATTGCTTTAATAAAGGTGTAGGGGATACCATCCGGGCCGGTCGCTGAGTGCGCTGGACAAGAGTCGATTGCTTTGTTAAGTTCTTCGGGGGTGACTATGTCGAAGGTGTTGCTAAGGTCAAAAGAGGGGGGTCTAATGTTTAGGGGGGGATGGTCGGGGGACGTCCGTTTCGAGGGGAAAAGTTGGGCTCTTAGAGCTTGACACTTCCCCGCAAACGTTTCTTCACCTTGTATGGTTGGTATGATTGTGTCTCTTCTCCTTCCTGCGTTTAGGATTCTCCAGACTTCACTACCTTTCGCTTCGTTCATTGTCTTTTCCCGCTGGTCCGCTTTTGCTTTCCGGATCATGACTGTCCATTCTCTGCAGGCCTTCCGGTGTTCCTCCACGTGATTGGGTTTCCTCGTGTTTCTCGCCTTCCTTTCTGCTGCGTTTACCCTTGCCTTCATTTGTTTCATTTCATCTGACCACCAGGAGTTGGCTCTTACCCCCTCCTTCGAGAGTGGGGTTACTATGTTGACTGTTGACCTGACCAGTTCTAGGAAGAAATCGAGAGTTTTTTCCATATGTTCCTTGGTTTCCCATGCCTCTGCAGGGATGGAAATGTTTGACATTTGGTTCTCCAATAGCTTCCAGTCTGTTTGTCGCCACATTCGTCTTGGTACAAAAGGTGGTTTTTCCAAGTTTAAGTGAACGGAGGTTCTCCCGTGGTCTGAGCCCGCTCCGTAGGGTTAAGTGCTCCATCGTAGGTTGTGGTCAAGTGTTGGGCCTTTTACAAATGTAAGGTCGATGATTGTAGGCCTTTTCCCTCTGTCTCTGGAGAAATGCGTAAAGATGCCTGCTTCGTTTAGGAGGGTCAGTTTCTGTCGGGTTATCCATCGTTTTAGCCGTGCACCATTAACGCGGTCTGCTCGAATATTATTTCTGTATTCATGTGAATTTACTCCGTACCACATTTGATGGTAGCAGTTGAAGTCTCCCATTACTAGGCAATTGTCAAGGGTTTGGATTGTACTTGCTACTTGGACGAAGGGGCCACTTCAGCCTGGGGAGTATATGTTTAGGATTTGGGTTTTCTTGTTCTGGATTTCTACCGTAATCGATACTATAAAATTATCGTATGTATCGTGGTGTTTTGGTTTGAGGTTGGCATGTTTGCGGACGTATGTTGCACATTTTGTGTTGGTGTTGCTGGCTGTGAAAATATAAAAGAGATTTGATTCTGGTGGGTATCCCTCTGCTGAGGTCCATGGTTCTTGTAATAATAGAAAATAAATACTAGAGCCTGTTTCCGCTTCTTCTACCGCCACCTTGGTAATAAGTTCACTCCGTGCACAATTGAGTTGGTGTGTGAGCGCGGTGGTTCGGGGCCTAGGCATTATTTGTCATGTGTTGGTGGTCTTCGGGAACGGGTGTGGCTCCGACCGGGGCGGTGGCTGGTCCTTGGACTATTGGAAGCAATTCTTGGACGGGTGCGGCCGGTGGATCCTGAGCGGGTGGGGCATTTTCCTTCCCTTTGTTGAGGAATCGGCGTTTGGCCCTCTCGGGGCATGCTAGGTCGGAGGCCTTATGAGCTCCTTTACAGTTCAGGCATCTGATTGGGGTGTGGGTGCATCTATATCCTTCCTGGCATTCATTGCATGGATGGAAACTGGTGAGGTGATCTGCGGCGCAGTGGCCGTATTTCCCATTGTTCTTACATTTCTCCTGGCGGTGGCTGTATTCGAGGCACTTCGCACACTGGGTATCCGGGAAGGTTGGGAGGAAGGCCTCGATATGGCAGCTCCAGTTAAAGAGAGATAGGAATTTAACTCCTAGGGTTTCCATGGTAACTTGTCCTGGCAGCGCGATGACCATTGATGAGTGGGTTTTTTCCATTCGAGTCTCTGCTCTGGAGATCCAGCGGGGAACCTGGGCAAGTTGGAATTCCTCTCCATAGTTGCTTCTGATTTCGGATGCTACCAATTGTCCTGCCTCGATACCCTCCCCGATCGTTGTGGAGATTCCGTGGAGAAGGAACTTTGACCATTTAGAGTTTGGGCGGATGTTGACGACCGGTACCTGTAGGGTGAGGAGGGCCTCCTCAATTTCTTTGGCATATTCTATTGCCTTTACTGCTGGGGTGATGAATTTTGTTTCCAAAATGAAGTTGTCCTTGGGTGTTCTTCTTGCTGAGATTAAGTGGCAGGATTGATCCTGGATCCTTGCATTGACTAGGGACCTGATCTCGGAGGGGTTGACATCGGATGGGGCTGTGGTTTCAACAATGATCTCTCTGTTGATCTTGGTGTATTCTGGTTTGAAGAGGGGGTCCACTTTTGGCTCTGCAGGCTTCTTTCTTCTTTCGACAACCTGGAATTTTCCTTGGGCAGGGCCAGCTGCCGATGCCACGGTGGCCCAGGTGCCTGCTTTCCATCCACGGGGTGGGGCTGGTGGTGGTGCTTGGCGGAGTGCAGGTTGAGGGGCCTGAGGGGCTGCCTGAGGCGCTGCTGATTGGGGAGCCGCTGGGGGGGCTGCTCTCTGTCTTTGTTGCGGTTGCGGTTGTTGTGGTTGTTGTTGCTATTGCTGCGGTTGGGGTTTGTCGAAGAGGGCATGGATCGCCGAGTCATATTGGTGATCATCATTGTCTGAGCCTCGATTTGGTGTTTCAATGTTTCCACTGTTCTCCGGAGTGTAATCGATTGCTCTTCGAGGACCTCAATCCTGTCTGAGGGTGGGCAGATCCGGCTGGTTGCGTGTCTAATGGCCCAGGTAATATAGTTCAGGTCCGTCTGGGTGTGAGTAGTATGGGAGACAGTGCTCGGATAGAGGTAGTCAATTCTCGGTTGGTAGGGGTCGTTGTAGTCGGATTCTGTTGCAAAGGTCGAGGAAAATTCCTGTTCCTGAGCTCCGGATGGGGTTGGGTCGGGATCCTGAGTGTTCCTGTTATGTGGGGGGGCTGTCCCTTGTGGGGAAGACTGGGTAAAAAAGGACTGGAGTGAAGCTTGCTGCGACATGACTGAGTGTCCGGTTCTTCTCGCGGCGTAGAGTGATGTTTCAGATAGGTTTCTTTTCCTTCCTTTCGGGAGGTCAAGGCTGGAGAATTCTTCGCTAGAAGCCAGTTTTCGTGGTGTTTCTTTCTCTTGGAACAACAAAACGCGACCGTATGATCGGGGACGAAGTGGCTCAGCCTGGTATGGTATACCAGGGTAAACCAAGGGTAGCAAAATAAAGTGTTTTTAAAGCGAGGTTTGTTATCAGGGAGGTCTTTGCGAGCTTTAGCGAGCAAGTAGAATACAGAGAGAGAGAGAGAGAGAAACTTATATTGCATAGAAGCGGAAGCTTATCGCAGACCTAACTACCCGACTACAACCTCCACCGACTAACCCGAAAGCAAAAACGAAGTACAAAAACTAACTACCGCAGCTACAAGAACCGCGTACATAATAAAACAAAAACAGCGCACGAAGAGGGCGCGAATAACAAGTGGTACAGGTAAGCAGAATCTAAGCGACAACAAAGAAACCTCCCCGTAGTAAAAGTAAGAACCCCAAACTTCTCCGTCAACTGCATTAGCGAGCACAATCCTAAACGTAGTGTTCAATCGAAACGATATCATTACCAACGTTCCCGGTGTCATATCTGTGGACGAACCTTAACAGGACTGGGAAACCACGCGCACGAATGCAGGAGAGGCCAACCGCAACAGCGTCAGGTGTGAAAACGAGGGGGGGTGGGTCGAGTGTGGGTTCTCGGGCTTCTGGTTGTCAGTCAGCGAGGAATTGAGGAGTGGTGACCGGTTGGTCAAGTAAGGAGTGGGTGGGGTCGTCGGTCCCTGGAGCAACGGCTAAAGACTGTGCCCGAGTCGTGTTTGAAGTGGTGTCCTCTGGAGGGGACATGCAAAAAGGGGTTGAGCCGAAGGCTCAGTATGTATGGGGGTCGCAATCGAAAGTGCCGACCGTGTTGTGTTGAGGGTGGTCTCGGAGACCGGTTGGGTTGGGGTGAGGGGAGCGGGCCGCCTCGGGTAAAAGTGGGTGGCCTGGTTAAGGCCGATAAAGAGGGGTAAGGTCACGGGACCTCGGGTAAAAATTTGACGGTAGTTTCGCGACCGAGAGGTCGCTAACTTCGCGGGCTGTCGAGCGCTTTGGCAGTAGGTTCTCGCTGACTGGAGATTACTGACAGTGTGCGTACCCGACGTGTGGGATCACTCGTGCGATGAGTGAAAGTAAGGAGGGGCGAAGGCGGCTTTCGAGAGTAGCCGCTGGTTTGGCGAGGGGTGAACGGTGGACGCATCCCGTGAGGGCACCAAACGAGCAAAGAATGGGGGTGTCGAGCGAGGGAAGTTCAGGGACCGAAGCAATTCGAGAATCAGTATAACTCCATCTCGGGGGGAAGAAATCCTACCGCGAGCCAGAGGCGAGCGGGTAGAATACAGAGAGAGAGAGAGAGAATCTTATATTGCATAGAAGCCGAAGCTTATCGCACACCTAACTACCCGACTACAACCTCCACCGACTAACCCGAAAGCAAAAACGAAGTACAAAAACTAACTACCGCAGCTACAAGAACCGCGTACATAATAAAACAAAAACAGCGCACGAAGAGGGCGCGAATAACAAGTGGTACAGGTAAGCAGAATCTAAGCGACAACAAAGAAACCTGCCCGTAGTAAGAATAAAACCCCAAACTTCTCCGTCAACTACATTAGCGAGCACAATCCTATACGTAGTGTTCAATCGAAACGATATCATTACCAACGTTCCCGGTGTCATATCTGTGGACGAACCTTAACAGGACTGGGAAACCACGCGCACGAAGGCAGGAGAGGCCAACCGCAACAGTGTCAGGTGTGAAAGCGAGGGGGGGTGGGTCGAGTGTGGGTCCTCGGGCTTCTGGTTGTCAGGCAGCGAGGAATTGAGGAGTGGTGACCAGTTCGTCAAGTAAGGAGTGGGTGGGGTCGTCGGTCCCTGGAGCAACGGCTAAAGACTGTGCCCGAGTCGTGTTTGAAGTGGAGTCCTCTGGAGGGGACATGCAAAAAGTGGTTGAGCCGAAGGCTCAGTATGTATGGGGGTCGCAATCGAAAGTGCCGACCGTATTGTGTTGAGGGGTGGTCTCGGAGACCGGTTGGGTTGGGGTGAGGGGAGCGGGCCGCCTCGGTTAAAAAAGGGTTGCCTGGTTAAGGCCGATAAAGAGGGGTAAGGTCACGGGACCTCGGGTAAAAAATTTGACGATAGTTTCGCGACCGAGAGGTCGCTAACTTCGCGGGCTGTCGAGCGCTTTGGCAGTAGGTTCTCGCTGACTGGAGATTACTGACAGTGTGCGTACCCGACGTGTGGGATCACTCGTGCGATGAGTGAAAATAGGGAGGGGCGAAGACGGCTTTCGAGAGTAGCCGCTGGTTTGGCGAGGGGTGAACGGTGGACGCGTCCCGTGAGGGCACCGAACGAACAAAGAATGGGGGGTGTCGAGCGAGGGAAGTTCAGGGACCGAAGCAATTCGAGAATCAGTATAACTCCATCTCGGGGGGAGGAAATCCTACCGCGAGCCAGAGGCGAGCGAGTAGAATACAGAAGAAGAAGAAGAAACTTATATTGCTTTGAAGTACAAGACTTATCGCACGCCGACCCGACCGCCTAAACACGAACCGAACAAAAAGAACAAAAGGAAAAAACAACAAACACAAACGAACAAACAAGAACAGAAATAAACACAAACGAACACAAACAGGAGTAAGGAAATTCCAGAACGACACTTAACCAGGAACCATCCAACGACAAGGAGAAATAACATATCTCAACGAACTCGGGCGCTGGATCCATCAAGATAAAATAAAAACCAAAATTAAAAGGTAAAAGGAAACCACCCTTCCTAATCCCGTCCCTACTCAATTTCTTCCATCCCCTCTTCTAGGTCCACCTCCGCTTCCGCCGACTCGTACCACTTCGAGAGTTGAGAATTTTTCGCAAATTGTAGGATAAGGTCCGTTTTCAAGTTTGTAAACATC